AAAAAAAAAAAAAAAAAAAAAAAAAAAAAAAAAAAAAAAAAAAAAAAAAAAAAAAAAAAAACTCCTTTCATCTCCTTAAAAAAAAAAAATCAAAATCAAAATTACAATAATCTGAAATAATTATATTAAATTAAAACTAATTTCCCCACCGATTTAAATGTCATCTCCAATTCTGATTCTCGAAAGACCCATCCCTTCTCGACTCCGTCAGTTGTGGCTCAGCGCTTCCAAAAATTTGGAAGCCATGTCGTCTTCTAGGCTTCGATTGCTCACAACAGAATCCCCAATCGGTTCTAGATTCCCCAAAGCTTTAATCTCCTCTCAATCTCACAATTTCTGTTTTTTTCGATCGATTTCCTTCCAAAGGATTACCTCCAAATCGCCGTCGTCACTCTCCGTTTCGTCGTCCGCCTCCTCCTCCAAGCCTCTGCAACCCGTGGAAGAACTCCCTCCTAAGCTTCAAGAAATAGTCAAGCTCTTTCAATCAGTTCAGGATTCGAGGGCCAAATACGAGCAGCTTCTGTTCTATGGAAAAAAGCTCAAACCGCTCGACCCCCAGTTCAAGAACAAGTCTAACAAGGTCGAGGGTTGCGTTTCTCAGGTCTGGGTTAGGGCTTATTTGGATTCGAATAAGAATGTTGTGTATGAGGCCGATTCGGACTCTGCTCTAACCAAGGGCCTCGCCGCTCTGCTCGTTCAAGGACTCTCTAATCGCCCTGTGGAGGAGGTTATTAGGGTTTCTCCTGATTTTGTTGTTCTTCTTGGTCTTCAACAGGGCCTCACGCCTTCTAGAAATAATGGGTTTTTGAATATGTTGAAATTGATGCAGAGGAAGGCGCTTGGGTTACTTGTGGAATCAGAAAAAGGTAATGACAGTGCGATTTCATCGTCGCAAATAGATGATGCTGTGGAAAAAGTAAAATCAGATTCCGAAACTGATGCTGAGAAACCAAATGAGGAATCGAAGTTGGGAGATAAAGGAAGTGATAATTCTGGTGTGTTGGGAAGTAGAGGGAAGAGAATTAAGGAGAAACTAGAGACAGAGCTTAATCCAGTGGAATTGAATGTGGAAGATATTTCGTACCAGCATGCAGGGCATGCTGGGGTAAGGGGTAGCGATGGAGAGACGCACTTTAATTTGAAGGTTGTGTCGAAGGAGTTTGAAGGGAAAAGTTTAGTGAAAAGACATAGACTCATTTATAATCTGTTGCAAGAAGAGTTGCAGAGTGGACTGCACGCCTTGTCCATCTCGGCCAAGACACCTGATGAACTCTGAAGCCCCAATGGAGAAAGGTTCATCATCATAACTCACTTGAAACATGTTTTCCTTCATTTATTTTCTGTATTCTATCTCTATTTCTATTTAGTGGATGAGGAAGAGGAACTTCTGTGATTTCTGAGGAGTGTTTATGATATAGTTATTACAATTTGAGGCTTAGAAGTTGAAGTTTTGCTGTCATTGGTTCTGCAAACAATTCTTGTTCTGTGATAGGAAAATAAGGAAAAAGGTAAAGAGGGCGTTTTATAAGATGAGAATCAGAACTCGTACTTTATTACATTCAGATCCGTTCTCAACAAATTTTAGAATGAGTTATGAAGCCCATCAAACCACTAGAATCATACGCCAAAGCAAAATTTTAAATCTCAACTTTGCAGCTCTTCAAATTCCTTCAATAAAATGTCAAAGTTTCCAGTTTTTAGCTGACCTCTTGAGGAATTATCTTACAATTTTGGCTCTCAGCTACATTCTGGATCCAGTTTGATGTTTGAATATGAATTCTCCATGCTCTTTGTTCTATTGTGAAGTAAATAATCTCTTATTCCTTCAGTTTTAGATTCAGGGAGATGCTTGATTTTAATGAACAGTTTAATAACCAAGATGATTCGGATTTGCTTGTATGCATTATTCTAAATGAAATTTATTGCCTTAACTTCTGTCAGTCAGTTTGGCTTTTTAAATCAACTATAGTCCATCTTCCCCTTTGGTATTCGTGCATTCATAGCTTGAAGATAGAACGATCAGGATGTTATGATCCTTATTATTTCAAGCCTTTCCTTATCTCATGCATGGTTTTCTGCTTTAAATATTCATTAGAGAATATGCTTAGTAATGAAATATTTGATTGGATTCACTGATAATAGATGATGGTATAGTGGAATAATCAGTCAGTCGAGGGAGCAGCTAACAAGCTGAAAATGTAGACACTTTTATCTAGTTAGCCATAGGGCATATAAGATTCGCAGCAGCAAGTGTGGTAGAATTTGACAAAGTAGTTCTTTTCAACAAAAAAAAAAGTGACTGGCAGAGAATTCTCAAGGGAGATCGGGTTGATACTCCCACAGACCTTCCCCCCTTTAGCTGAAGTCTCTATATGCATTGGTTGGTGGACTGACTACTCATCACCAACTGGTATCGGCTAATCAACCAGTAGGAGTATTAATGGATGAGTGAAGCTCCTAACTAACTCTGAGAGTTCCTTTGATGTTATTGAGAACTTTGTTGAAAGTATGAATCCGGATGTTAGATGAACACGACTCTCCACTCCATAATAGTATGATATTGTCCACTTTGAGCATAAGCTCTCATGGCGCTTTGCTTTGGGCTTCCCTAAAAGGCCTCCAACCAATAGAGCTAGTATTTCTTGACTATAAATCCATGATCATTCCCTAAATTTGTTAAGGTGGGATTTTCATCCAATTTCGAATATTAGGTGAAGAGGTTGTAACCTCCCCTCTCTCGTTCTTCGGCTGAAAGGCTGGTTGTAGCCTCTGATTTCATTTTTAATTTCTCATTAATCAAATCGAAATCTCAATTTTCATCAATACCATGTTTTTATTGTATACGGGAATGTCAAATAATAGTAAAAATGTTGAAATTTTGAACTATGTTCAAGTTTAGTAATGGTCTGCAAATTTGAGTACAACTCAATTAGACATATCTGCTCGACCAAAAAGTCTCAATTTCCAAGCCCATTACAAAAAGGCCCATTTTAATTTTGAGCCGGAAGATATTTGTATGGTCCCAATGTGTCGGAGGCCCGATATTGAAAGGGGAAGAAAATAAAAAAAATTGGGGCATTCCGAGAATTGAACTCGGGACCTCTCGCACCCTAAGCGAGAATCATACCACTAGACCAAATGCCCAATTGATGGAAATTTAAGAATAAAGTTTATCTAAACATTAAAATTTAAATCTATTCAGATATTTATAATTTTCCGAAACATTTATCTTTTAATTGATTTTTTTTATAAAAAAAAATGGTTGGAGTGCATACAGACAAATAATCTCATGAAAAGACTATTGTTGGATTAAATTATAAAACTCAATTTCTTTTAATTAGATCTCTCTTCTTTTTTCTTTTTTCATCCATTAGCTATACAGCTATATCGTGGAAGCGTTCATAATCTACCGAGGCATTATCCAAAATGAGTTTCTCATGCATGAAAGAATGATCAAAAGATTTGGACATAGCCTACACATCTCGTGTTCCATTTAACCTTGAATCTCCACGATATGATATGTTTGTTTTTCTGACTCGAATACAAGACCAAAATTTTGAGATTCTTTTAAGAAAGATTTATTGGTATAGATATCTCCCTTTTCATTATCTTCATCTCAATGATTCTAGAATTTTTGTAAAATCAAATAATACATAATATGATATATTGAATCTAATTCAAATCTCACATTAAATATATTGCATCTAATACAAATCTCTTAAAATCTCCCCCAGCATGGGTCTACTTTTTAAAATCTCATTCAAACTTAATATGTATAGTTTACTTTAATATAATTATAATGTATCTAATACATATTATTATCATTCGCAAGATCATATTACGATTGAATCAAAGCTTGTTTAATTCTATAATTATATTTTGATATACTACTAATCATCTAATAAACAATATGCTTATAATTCAATTATACTTCTCCAACCCTCCTGACAAAATATTCAAAAAGAAAAGTGATACATGCATATATGAACTCTTACAACATTGTGACTCTATTTCAATCTATACCATATTTCATATACGTAACCGCTCTAACTTGAACTCATTTCCTCTAAGCCACTTTAATTACATGGTTCTTATGGACGACTCGACCTAGAGATTTGGTTCGTACTATAACTTTAACTTATCAATCTATATTTGGATAAATGCCTAAAAGTATGTATTGTTGCATTCTATCCAATTTATCCATCATAATCGATCAGAGTCCTACGTATGGAGCTAAAATATCATCATGGAGATCAGAGTTCACATTTCAAGTCCAAAGTAATGAGAGGTTGATGAGTGCAACATTCAATAATCAAGC